TAAAGCCCGAGGTCTAATATTTAAAAGAGAAAAAGATACAGATAGGTTGTATGAGTGAGCCTAAAAGAAGGCCCAACTCACAAAATACAACACACATAAAATCCTAAATAAAGTAAAGATACATAAAGATAAAAAACCAAAAACCACCAATGGGCAAAAAAACGTTAGGGACATTCCACTTTAGTCCTCCCTCTGTCTCTAGTTATCGTAATGAAGCTGACTAACAAATTGGTAAGGTGCATATCATTACCCGAAACAACCAAAGTATCATCCATTATATTCCTGAGCTCAAATAGGTCTCCATTTTTTGTCTTCCTCCTGGATGTGTGAACCTGTCATCCCTCATCCGAGGATTGACTCATCTGATAAATGGATTGGTCCAAAGGTGGTCAGACAGGTGTAGGCTGTTGCACATCATGATATATATATATATATATATATATATAGAAAAAGCCCAAGGACTAATATTTTAAAGAGAAAAATATACAGATAGGTTGTATGAGTGAGTCTAAAGAAGACCCAACTCACAAAATGCAACACACACAAAATCCCAAATAAAACAAAGATACATAAAGATAAAAAACTAAAAACCACAAATGGACAAAAAAACACTAGGGACATTCCATTTTAGTCCTCCCTCTGTCTCTAGTTCTCGTAAGGGAGCTGACTAACAAATTGGTAAGGTGCGTACCATTACCCGAAGTAATTAAAATATCATCCATCAGATTCCTGAGCTCAAATAGGTCTCCATTTTTTGTTTTCCTCCTGGATGTGTAAACCTGTCATTTCTCATCTGAGGATTGACTCATCTGATAAATGGATTGGTCCAAAGGGGGCCAGACAGGTGTAGGCTGTTACACATCATGATTCCTATGAGCTTGAGTAACATTAACATCTTTCTCGACCTGATGAGGCGGTAGTGAAGCAGTAGAAGTATTGTCACTTGTAATATCAGTGATAAGTTCTAGAGCAGGTGGATCTGAAGAATCTCACTCGTTCCCACGATAGGAGGTTCCAAAGACGGGGGAGCTACAATATTGTGTGGAGACTGAATGGTTGACATATTGCCTGCGAGGATAGTGACGTCTTCAGGGGTATCATTTTAATGATCAATAGTGTTAATAACTTGGAGCTGATCAGGAGGAGATAGATTTACTCCCTTTGGTGGATCACTTTACTTTTTTGGTCTGAGGTGGGGGTGTAGATGGTGACATTGAGAACTGGAGTGGTCAAACATACGACAGTTAGAACAATACGAAGGAAAATGCTCAATCATTACCTTTTGCCAATATCCATGGTGTTGTGTGCCCAACCAAATTTCCTCAGAAGCGGTTGAAGTGATGCCTCTTTTAACAAGCACTCTAGCTTTAAATAGACGAGAAAGATTAAAAAGTAGGAATGTTCGTTTTGAGTGGCTTATCATAAGCTGAGGCAATATAGTATAACACTTTTTGAGTAAAATAATGAAATTTCAGACCAGTGAGGCGAATCCAAACCGGAATGATTTGTGGTTCCGTTTGTGGGTCAAAATCTACAGATCATTTCAAAATTTTCATTGTTCTGTTATCCATCCAGATTATCCTTATAGCAAGTAATCACGTGTAATCCTCTTCATTATTAAGTTGAATAAGAATGTTTTTCATCTAAAAGTCTAATTTTTTACTCCCCAATAAGGTACATAAGCTCAAATTTCTTACGAATAAGCTTCATTTTGTGATGACCATACAAAAATTTTCTAATTAAATTCAGACGACAGGAGGAAGCAAGTCGAATATATTCAGTTTCTGTAAAAAAGATGACAAACTTCACATTCTTCCTACCAGGTTTCTTGATGTCCTCCACCCACTCAAACGAAACATGGAAATAACACAATTTAGAAGTACGTGAGTCGTGGACACCCGCAAGGGCAACAACATACGATCTATCAGAAGTCATCCCCAATAGATGTAGGTACCGCGTTAAGAACAGTGAAGAAAGCAAAGAGCAAATTATGATTCTAGAATAGGGAGCAACGATTCGAGCAGTCACCTCAGCAGTAGACAGAGATGAAGGACTGTGAGCGACAACAAAGAGACGCCCCCAAGCCCGAAGACTTATCGAGACAATGACGACCCGCTGAAGAAGTCCGCTCCTAGATGTCCTTTAAAAGTTGAAGGACCGCAAGAGGCAGCTAAGACGACCTGCCGACTTCATGTGAGAGCCTCTGATTCTCGGGAAAACGAACAGAAAGAGCCGCTGCGACGCGATGATGAAAATTGGCTACGAAGACGAAAAGGTCGCCATAGGCAAACCCTAACATATATATATATATAAAGCCCGAGGT